GTCCATCCTGAGGCCGAGTCCCACATACAGCAACTAGAAGGATGTGCAGCTATGACATGCAACTATCTGCTGGGGCTTTGGGGGGAAAAAATAAAATAAATAAAATCTTTAAAAAAAAAAAATAAATAAATAAATAAATAAATAAACTATCCCCTTAACAAAAATGTTATAGTTCTCCCAAGTAGTTATGCTTACTGAAACTTCCAGTGATCCTAACCTGAGTTACCAATTATATCAGTTGACAAGATCTAAAAACACACTCACTGGTCAATAATTACTGGAGCTTTTCACTGAAGAGTCTAACTTTTAAAATCCACAGTGGAACAGATAACATATATTGAACAAATCATTACATCTCAAACATTGGCTGTAACTCATACATTTTTATCTTGTGCCCAGTCTGAGAGATCTTCAATATAAAAAGACAAATACTAATAAAGCAGTTATTATTATTTCACAGTTTCTTACCTTCAGGCAAACGTACTAAGTGATTTCTCCTTACATTAAGGTCTCTCAAAGCTTCCAAATTACCAATTTGGGAAGGTACTGTTTGAATTTCGTTGCAGCTCACATCCTATTTCAAAAAGATACAAAGTAAAGAATTGTTCTAATATTATAAATTTGCCTGCTTTAACCTATCTGTAAAATGAGGTTGGATAAGGTAATACCCACAGTCCCTCCTAGTTGTAAAAAAAATTATGATGCTGTGCCCAAGAATAATTCCACAGTTTGTACTAGCATTTAATTTTAAAAGCTTATAGGCTTTTAACTGATTCTATACATTTTATATAGATCTACATTAATTTTGTGCGCAGAACTAACATTAAAAGACTTAAGATGTGAGGGCCGGCCCCGTGGCTTAGCGGTTAAGTGCGTGCTCTCCGCTGCCGGCGGCCCGGGTTCGGATCCCGGGTGCGCACCGAGGCACCGCTCCTCCGGCCATGCTGAGGCCGCGTCCCACATACAGCAACTGGAAGGATGTGCAGCTATGGCAGACAGCTATGTACTGGGGCTTTGGGGGAAAAATAAATAAAATCTTTAAAAAAAAAAAAAAAGACTTAAGATGTGGATAGGAGGCCTAGAATATCAGATCAAATAAAAACGTTGATAAAAAGGTAAAACAGAAAAAAGTATAAAAACAGATCTACTTAGGACAATATTTTTACTTTATACTGATCTAATGAAACTAGAAGAAAAAACAAAACAATGATAAAAATTATAACAATTAAATTATTTGAAAGCAAATCCTATTTTCAAAATACCAGTTCAACTGTTCAAAAACGTAAAATAAAAATACAATGAAGATGATTCAAATTATTCTTTATCAAACTGAATGTTGAGGGAAAAATAATAAAGTACACATAACTCAAAGGCTATGGAAAAAATAGATACTGCTCTATTAGCATCTGATCAACCTGATTCCAATAAGCATATTAGGTAGAACTTCTGGTATCTTCGTAAATAGCTTGATCCCACTGGTTCTCAAAAGAGACTGACTACAGGTTCCAAGATCGATAAATTCAGAATTCTATAATTCTGAGACCAGCCAGAATAATTTGTAAACTCATGTGTAGCAACAGGAAGCTGCATAGGTTAATAAAAGCTCCAAGATGCCACATTAACAATTAAAACTCCTCCAATATGTGAGTAAAAAGAAAATATTAATCGACTATTAGACAAGACCATTTACCAAAAACTTCAATAAGCTTCAAACATTATTTTTAAATTTTCCCAAAATATTCTTAGAGAAAATAATACTGTTTTTACTTTTCCTACCACTTAATGACTGAAGTAGAATCAGAAGCTAGACTTCTTAGTCCAATGCTCTAGGCATCAAAGTTACAAGGGTTCTAAAAGAAGTTGAAAGGATAGGAACATTTAGCTTTAGCCCGAAGATAATAGCAATCTATAATATTTCTCTCAGAAAACGTATATGTTGAAAGACAACAGCTTACTTTCACCAAAATATGAAGGGAAAAAAAGGAAAGAAGCAATAAGGATGTTGCAGAAAGACCATTAAGTGGGAATCAAGAGCTTTAGGATGACAAATCCTTACTTTGCCACAGCTGTTTGTATGACTGAGGGTATCAATTCACCTCTTTTGTAGAAGGCTAAAAGCACCTTCTGTGAGACATATCTATCTTTTAAGTATTTAGGATTCAATAAGTAGAAACAGAAAGTTTAAATAACTTGAAAACCAGAGTTTGAATCACGAGTATAATTTACCTCTAGTTCATGTTATTAACCCAAGTTCTGAAGAAATGCCAATAAACATACATTTTGGACTTTATTTCCTAGATTTTCTTGGCTCTAAATAAACAGTGGTCTAGGATCTAGACTCCAGATTTAATATATTTGTGAATTTTTACATGTGATCTTTTATATTCATAATCCACCTGAAAAAAAAAGTGAGTTAATATGTGGTCCAATTAGAGTATACGTGTATTTATTTTTTGTTTATGACGCCCCTCTTTGTTAATAAATCTACATGGAACTATACGCCCAAATCTCAATAGATATAATTGTATTTGACCATTTTAGAAATATGAAACGGCTTTGGAGTTAAGGTAGACTGGTTTCAAATTCTACTTCGGTTATGGAACCTTGGGCAAATTACTTAACCTATCTGAGTGCTAGTTTCCTCAGCTGTAATATGATGATAATTATAGTACCCAATTCATAATGTTATTGTGGGGATTAAATGAGAAGTCTTACTCCCATGCCCAGAACATAAGTACTCAAGAGTAACAAGGAGTGGTAGGTGAAAATTAGGCTTCTTAGAAAATATAAGGCAGTTAAGAACAGCTTACTTTAAGAGTGGGAGATAGGTTCTAAAGATAGCATGTCAGGCAAAAAAATAAGCCTGACTTTTATAGTGTCCATTCCCCTATAGGAACTAATCAAAAATCAAAATATTGATGTTATTAAAATTTAATTTGAAAAATTCAAATGCATTATTAACTTATATCTCAAAAGTTTAATAACAGAAATCACCTAATATTGGTTAGAACCTAATTCTAATAACCTTTTCCCATTCCATGTGGGCCTATTAGACTTGTACTTTCAGTTCTTTCTTAATCATGTGCCAAAGCACTTGAGTACTGATCCATCAGTAAGACTTCATTATTGATACTTGAAAATAACACCTTAATAACGGGTCTTTACCATATAAAAGAGGATGGGATGATACGGTTATAGTACATACATGTGAGACAATCAAAAAATAAAATGTTAACTTACAAGTTCCGTTAAATGTCTGAGATGTCCAATTTCTTCTGGGAGTGAAACTAATTTGTTATTACTGGCAATTAAGACTTTCAATGGTAAATTACACAAGTGTACTGGCAATGTTGACAGCTGGTTCCGACTAAACGGATAAGTAGAAAAAGAGGAGTCAGAGCCCACCACTCAAGAAAAAAATTTGCATCTTTCCCATTCTATACCCAGTAAAACAACAAATATATAAGTCTTACAAGGAACAAACAGGATATTGGATTTGAATTCTAGCCTTCATTTCCTCACTTGTCAGCTCTGTGGTTTTAGGCACAGCATTTAACTCATCTGTATCTTACACAGATTCCTCATCTGTAAACTGAGGATCCTAATACCTCCTCTACCTTTCTTACAGGGCTCTTGCACCATAAAACTCCTTTGTAAATAATGAAGTGCTATATAAACAACATATCTTATTCAAGCTAAATTTATTTAAAAAAAAAAAAAAAGATTTAAAAATAGGGTAGATAGCTATCATCGTCCTCCTCCTTCCAAAGAAGAGTTATTTTTATAAGTGTTTGTAATCGACTTCCCTAATCATTACAGTATTAAAGCCAAATGTACATAAATGATCCAAATATAGTTCTACAGAAAACAAGTGACAGGTTATGATTTCAAATATATTTTATCAACTGAAGTATAGGTAAGGAATCTTTTATTTATACAAAAACATGTAAATCAGAACTAAAAGTAAAATAAAACAGATCTATCATTAGAAAAAAAATAAGTTAAAATTTTACTTATGTAGATTTAACCTCTTAATCTTTAGGATAAATTGCCCTCCAGTTTCAAGCTCTTTTGCTGATTTAATTTACATAGATAAGGAGCTTTAAAAATTTTCTAATCTAATAATAGTTCTACTCCTAGACATTTATCTTAAAAAAAGAGAAAAATAAACATTTACATACAAAATTCTCTACTAGTATTATGTTTATCATGGCAAAAAATTGAAAGAACACAAATATCTGAGAGGGAAAATGAGTTTTAGAAGCATATAAATTGTACAATAAAATGATTACATATAAAAATATTTCCAAAGGATATTTCATGACAAGAGGAAAAACATTTAAAAATTTGACTAAAAGCCTGGAAAAAAAGAAAAAGATCACCTACAATTATATAACTCAGATACAACATTTTGACGAATTTCCTTTATATTTTTCTACATTTGCTCATTTTCTCCAATGAACATGCATAACTTTTATAATAAAATAAAAGAAAAAAATTCTTATAAAATTGCAAAGATGGAGCTGATCAGTTGAATAAATGCATTTATACATTCAGAACTTAATATACAAAAATATATAATGGCAAGAACCAAACAAAGTAATTTCAGATCTCTTCTCATTTGATGAAACTTACTTGAAAATGTAATTTGAGAACCATTGCTACAAGACTGCTGCAAGCCTATTAGGCTAATGGCTATCAGAGTTTGTTAATTATTGCAAAGTCAAAGACAAAGGGAGAAACTAGAGGGACATAGGAAATACAGGTAATTTAGCCTAAGAACATGTATAGATACTGCTAATATAAACAGATAATGTAAATTTTAGTGAAAGGGAAGAGAAAATTGAAAAGACCACATAAAATAAAAACTTCTAAAAAAATCCTTACCTAATATTCAAGTACGTCAGAGCTTGTAGGTTTAGAATCGCCTCTGGTATATACCGAATACAATTTTGGTATAAATTGAGATTCTCAAGAGAAACGAAGTGACATGCTTCAATGGGAATTTCTGAAAGGCGATTTCGTGACAGATCTGAAAGAAAAAATAAATTAAGCTTAAAACCAATCCTTGGAACTTATTTTATTGAAATGTTAAATAAATAAGCAGGTTTCATGATTGTTTGAATTCCCAAGAGTTCCTATTGTGGAGACTGGTCCAGACTAAACATTCAAATATTTATTGATTGATTGAATAAACCATTTTTACATATGCCTCTACACCTGTTGCCGGGAAATGCTGATTTCTTTTGAGTTTCCACATATACTAAAAAATAAAACTATTATTCTTTGCAAGTAACACAAATTCTAAGGCATATCTGCCTATGAATTATGTCAAAGATCATACTAAGTATCAAATATCCTAGGAAACAAACAGATCCCTAAAATCTACCTTCCCAAAAGCAGAGATGACATTCTGAGGTTTTTACAAAAGCAAAGCAAAACAAAACAAAAAAATACTGTCCCGTCTTTACCCAAGATTATAAGGGTCATGTCAAAAGGACTCAGGAGCCATCTTTGCTCCCACTGGCCAAAGACGAGACGATTTGAGCTTCAATAAAGATAAAAATCGCAATGGATTGAAATCTATCACATATATTGAATTATGTAAGTTTATAATGAGACCTCCGCCTCTCCCCAAGAAAGATGATAGAGAATCAATTCATTACATTGTAAACTGACAAAGTAAGGGGAAAAATCAAACATTTATCTTGCCTTCCCTATGAACTTATAAAAATTAAATTAATTAACAGAAACCTCATTAAATTGGAGTTGGGAGGGAAAATCCTGAAAGATATCTAGAATTACAATGAGGAGACCAACCTGCTGACTAGTTGTATGATCAGACTTGGGCAATCACTAGGCAACTTCATTAGGCAATTCCTAGGACTTTTGCAAAGCCTGCTGATTGGAACAAAATTCAGCCTTGTGCACAAAAATCTTATGAACCTGTTTATGACTATTACAATTGACTTCAGATTCTTTTCATTTTATTTTTATTTTTTTTTTTTGGTCAGGAAGATTAGCCCTGAGCTAACATCTGTGCCCATCTTCCTCTCCTTTATATGTGGGACGCCTGCCACAGCATGGCTTGATAAGTGGTGCATAGGTCTGCGCCCGGGATCCAAACCTGTGAACCCTAGGCCGCCAAGGCAGAGCACATGAACTTAACCACTACGCTACCAGGCCAGCCTGCAGATTGTTTTTAAAGAAAATTCTGATCTTCCTTCAGATGTTAACTCTGTGTTTATTAATGGGCTGAACTGGGACCTCTCCCTTCTAGTAAAAAGGACCAGAATGGAGCAGGAAATTATCCACTCCAGATTTAGTTAATCTGGCAAATCAACTCTCTCGTACCCTAGATGAGTCACCTCAAAGAAAGACCGCTAAAAATTTAATCTTCAACTCCAGCAAATGAAGGCCCCTAAATGAAACCAAAAACCTCCTAGTTTCTGCTATTATTGTAAAAAGCCAGGACATTGGAAAAGAGATTGTTACCAACGTCCTTCAAATTCTCAATGACAGGACTCCGTGGAACTACAGGGGCTCTTCCCAATCCTCCCTCTTAACCTGAAAGGAGAAACATTTCTCCAGATTGGAGACGAATCTCTTTCTGTCCTAACTGACAGCAGAGCCACACTCTTGGTGCTCAACCCCACTGCTATGAAGCAGCCCCTGCCTCGGAGTACTAAAACAGTTCCAACAGTGGGGATCTCTAATAAACCTCAAAAGGTTTCTGTCTCAGAAACTATTCTCTTTTGTTTAGGCCCTTTGAGAGACACACACTCTATTCTCCTTAGTTCCTTTGCCCCAATCCATTTATTAGGCCGAGACTTCTTGGAAAAGTATCATGCTGGAATTTCTTTCTCCTGAAAGGGGGAAATAATTCTAGAACTTGACAGTAGCCATCAAAACAGCCAATCAGGTGAATTAAATGACGCTTTGACATCTTCTATTTGCTCCATCTCCAGTAGTACTAGAGCTGATTCTGGAAACTCTGATCATTTGTTGCTACTGAATCAGCTCCCACCCTCCTTATGGGCAAAGTCGTCAACTGATATTGGTAAAATTCAAAGCGTACCTCTCAACAATATTCAAATAAATCCCTCAAAACCTCTCCCCAGAATTAATTAACACCCTATAAGTAAAGAAGCTCTTCAAGGTATAAAGTCTATCATAGAGGATTACAAGGATCAAGGCCTCATTATCCCTGTACTAGTCTCTATTATACTCCTATTGTACCTGCGAGAAAACTCAAGAACCAAGGGTGGGTTTGTCCAGGACCTCTGAGCAATAAACTACGTTGTTACCCCTCAACACCCTGTTGTTCCTAACCCTCATACCCTACCAACATCCATTCCCTACATCCCATTCCCACTGAAAGCAAATTCGTTACAGTAACTCATTTATGTAGTGTGTCCTTTATTACCAGTTGATAAAGACAGTCAATACTTTTTTGCCTTCACTTGGGAAGGAAAACAATTCACCTAAACAGTAATGCCCAAGGGTTTTACTGAGAGCTTTTCTTATTTCCCACAAATGCTGAAGGCTGATCGAGATGATATAAAGTTCCCTGGGGGTTCTAATTTGTTGCAATACAGGGATGATTTGTTTCTTTGCTCTTCCTCCCAAGTCTCCTCACAGGAAGACAGCACCCACTTGCTAAAGTTTTTAGCCTTACAGGGATATGAAGTCACCAAGGAGAAACTGCAGTTTGCCCAAACCCAGGTTCGATATTTAGGGCGTCTGATATCAGAACAAGAGCTAAACCTAGATCCAGATAGGCTTCATGGTGTCCTAAGTTTCCCAAAACCCAAAACTAAGTGCCATTTGCGAAGTTTTCTTGGGGTAGTTGGTTACTGCTGAAATTGGATTCCAAATTTCACTCTTATAGCCAAATCTCTGTATGTTCTACTGAAGAATGACATCCCAGACCCAATTTTATGGAAAGAACAGGATGACACAGCCTTTAAGGCCTTAAAGGAGAGTTTGATGAACCCACCTGATAATCCAATTATCTCTTTTTCCTCTTTGTATATGAAAAGGAAGGGAATGCCCTTGGGGTACTCACCCCAAAACACAGGGACTACCAGCGACTCATAGGGTATTATAGCCAGCAACTGGACCCTGTGGCACAGGTATATCCCCCCTTGACTTACAGCTATTACTGCCACTGCCCTTCTGATTAAGTCTAATGAGAAAATCATTGTGGGATCCCTTTTAACCATTTTTATAGCTCATGCTGCAGAAGCCCTCCTGAATTCTCATCACACTCAACATATTTCAGTCAGCTGCCTCACCTCCTACAAAATCCTTGTGTTAACTGCTCCTGGCATAACTCTTTTACATTGTAATAATCTCAACCCTGCCACTCCTCTCCCCTCCGTTACCAACGAAATCCCTCATGCTGCTTAACCCTGACGGATCACATCCTGACTTCTCATGATGACCTGCAGGAAATTCCTTTGGGTAATGTTGACTTCTCATGGTTCACCGATGGCTCTTATTTAAAAGGTGACAAAGGCTGGGCCGGCCCCGTGGCTTAGCGGTTAAGTGCGTGCACTCCGCTGCTGGCGGCCCGGGTTCGGATCCCGGGCGCGCACTGACGCACCGCTTCTCCGGCCATGCTGAGGCCGCGTCCCACATACAGCAACTAGAAGGATGTGCAGCTATGACATACAACTATCTACTGGGCCTTTGGGGGTAAAAATAATAAATAAATAAAATCTTAAAAAAAAATAAAATAAAATAAAAAAAATAAAAGGTGACAAAGGCAAATATTGTGCTGGGTATGCTGCTGCAACTCCTTTTGATATTGTCGAGGCAGCACTTTTACCTTTGGCTACTTCAGCCCAACAGACTGAATTATAACCTCTTACATGGGCTTGTACTTTAGCCAAGGGCAAAACTGCCAATATTTATACTGATATTAGATATGCTTTCGGAGTAGCTCATGATTTTGGAATGTTGTGGAAGCAACATGGCTTCCTTACTTCCAGTGGAAATAAAATTAAAAATGGCCCCTATGTTCAGGAATTATTGGCTATCATACTTTTACCTGCTGCTTTAGCTATTATTAAGATCCCAGGGCATTCTAAACTTGACTTTCTGGAAGCTAAGGGAAATCACCTTGCTGACACTTCTGCGAGGAATGCTGCCTTTAAAAGAACTAACAGCAGCCAAACCTCTGTCATGGTCCAAAGGGAAATTTCCCTAAATGATAATTTAGAAAAACTGACCAAAGAAACCCTACAATTGGCCTCAGAAAAGGAAAAACAAGATGGAAAATTCAACAACTGTTGATTTGATAAAGAGAGAAAGCTCTGGTTTGGACCAAATAACAACCCAGTCCTACTAAAGACTTTAAAATTCCCATTCCTAAGAACTGTACATGCATTAAACCATTGGTCTACTGACAAAATGACAACATTCATGAATCAGTATTAGCGGAGAAATTCAACAAGGCGGCAAAAAGCGCCTACTTCACTTGTCCCACTCGTCTAAAACACAATCCAGGGAAGCCTGTTCATACTGCTCCCAGACATTTTAAACTGCCTAGTGGACCATTCGAGGTTTGGCAAATGGATGCCATACAATATCCCTCATCCCATGGATATAAATATGTTTTAGTCATGGCTTGTATGTTTTCTCACTGGACTGAAGCCTTCCCTTGCTGACAGGCTACCACCTCTTCTGTGGCTAAAGTCCTATTGGAAAGGATTATCCCTACCTGGGAAACTCCTCTCGAGCTTCACAGTGATCATTTTACTGGTCAGGTACTTTGACAAGTCTGCGCTGTTTGGCCGGTTTTTACAACACTTTTGCTACGCTTACCACCCTTAATCCTCTGGTTTAGTCGAACGCACTAACAGCATTATTAAGATTCAACTGGCAAAGCTTGTAGAGACTCTCCAAATACCTTGGCCAAAAGCATTGCTCTTGGTGCTTCTAAATCTCAGACCCACCCCCTTTGGAATTCATAAACTCTCAGCCTTTGAGACAGTCACAGGATGCCCAATACACTTGACTGCTCCC